CTGTCTGTATTCTCTGTCTCGCAACTGAGAAAAGAATAACGGTGATAGTGGACATGTCATACTGTGCTCATTTTGTGATGGGCGGCTATGTGTTTATAGTGGCCGTCGAGGTACTCGTACCGTTGAGCTTGGATCCATTCTGTCTCCGGTGTGTTCTCAAGCCTTGTGGTATCGCGCTCATCATGTGTTGGTGTCCAGTTTGTGTTCTTTACTCACTGCATTGTGCATCCAACTGTGCCTTGTAACAAGCCGTGTCAGATTCATTGTGAATTCTCTGCTGGTGCTGCATATGTGTTCTTTTTTCATAACTATGCTAAAATGCACTACTGAGTTGGACTTGATAGCATTCTTATTTTCGGTGATTTATTTGACCCTGTTCTCTTCAATTTATATGTAATTTGCCCAAAAGGTACCAGCCAATATAAAACATCTAAAACAGATACTCGGTTGGCGATCGTGGGATTATGACTCGACAAATAAATCAAACGGATATAGGGCTTTTTGTGCCCGGAAAATAGGAATCCCGTAATTAAATATGAGAACCCAACGGTTAAGTGTTTTTATATCATCAGATACCATTAACAGGTCTTTATTGACCTAATTCAGAAGCGACCCTCAGCTGTGTGGAAAACACACTTCCTTGAATTGCAATCGTCTACTGCGCAGTTCTAAATAAGCGATTGACAAGATGCCAAGATTAATTTCAAGATCTGAAGAAAAATGATTTGCAAGAAAGAACATTAGTGATATAGTCAGCTTGAATGCTTATGACTGAAGGAAAAGTTGAAGGTGTGTTAGAAATAAAGTATATTTAACACAAAAGATGTCATTTAATGAAAGGAAATCGGTCGTTCTGAAGGTTGCAAACAATGAAGTGCAGACAACGCCAGCTAATATATGTCACTAACGCGTTTGAGACTTAGAGATTACACCATACTATACTACACAATAATGTACCTCTGAAAATTCGCGGCGCCCACATAGGCCATATATAGGTTAGGGAGTCGTACGATTAACTCTGCGGTTATTATTTTTATCAACTATTGTGGTACTGCCTCAAATTATTTGATCAAAGCTTCCCCAAGACTCTTGAGATTTGGAATAACCTCCTTCATTGTAGTGTCCATGAGGTGCGAATGCTTTCGATTTGGCGAGCAGGTCAACAAAAGATAGAGACAGTTCTTCGATGAAATGCATATTCGCATTTAACTCACAATTACTTGTGAGTAGTGGTGTGAAATGATTGATATTGATTTGAACTGACTATCCTTTAGACATCACTTTCATGCACAATCCTCAGTTCTTCTAGTCAAACATACACTCGGAAGCATTTGGCTCGAGTTACGCTCTTGTTAGAACTCATCAGCTTTGAACTCCGGATCCAGCGCATGGAAGGCGTATGTGTCAGCACTGTGCCAACCAGCTCATACCAATCGAATTGCCAATTCACGTTTGTTCAGGTATCGTCTTTGGTGGTAGTTAGTCAGTCAGTTAATTTTGACCCGACAGCAACAAAGGGAGACAGTCCACTATCTGTTAACTCCAATCGAAAGCCTCCCACCAAATCAGGCCTTCCATGCAGTGCGTATTACAGCACAATTTGAGAGCGATGTGGCCTGGTGTGTCCAATTTGCAGAACCCTTCTTTCCGTGTTTGATACCTGAAGAAACAGATGGCTCCAGTAACGTATCCAGTCAGGAATGCTAGTCTATTCCTTCAGTCCATTAAAATTGTCTACCACCAACCCTAGATAGAGCCGTTATCATCATGAGAAACATTATGGACTGCAACATTACATACACACGTTTCACATGACCTCAATGCACATCATAGTTTCTCAATTACATTCCTTTACACCCCAAACACCGTCAAAATGTTCATTATTATCAGTTTCCCGTGAGCGCTTGTGAAGGGGTTCCGTTCCTTGGCTATCTGGCCATCTTAACTGAACTATTGTAACGTCACAGAGAGTCTAATATTAGTCCAGAGGAACAGTAATCAGTTTTCACCGGTTTTAGCTCCAGCCGGTTCATTTCGTTGGTGATTTTTCATGGTCAGCCACTACCGTATTTCCGTTCATAGCCATTGTCTTCCCTCTCTTTACATCTGTATCAGAAGTTATTCAATCCATCAGGCCGGATTCCTAGATCACATTCTGCATTAGCGAACCACATTAAGCTCAGTTTGTACCCACCCAGCCGTAAGACTGGGTGACATCACTTCAATAGATGACGAATCGACAATCCGGGTTTCTAATTGTAACTAGTTTCCAAACTCATGGGAATGACCTCAACCGCTCACATGATCAGATCGAACAACATTTGCCACGCCTCACAACACTGCAATGAGTTTGAACAGTTCTACTGAACAGGTGAAATCTAGACTTGAAGGTAGGGAAATTCTCTGTCCGTCCGTTTATTTGTTTAGAAATAGCTTCAAACATCCGCGCGGCCCTTGATTCTATCGATAAGATAGTACTATGGAACTGTACGTTGGAGAATAGATTAGCTGAGAAATATGTTTCGATTCTTAAAGAGTTGCATCGTTATATTCATCAGGTCGAGTTATACATTATACATATATTCCATTTTAGTGTGATATTACGAGATAATTTTGCGCATTTACGACCATATTCATTTTAGCACTGAAGTTGGGACAATTATCCACAGGTTCCGGATAAGCAAGGTTCGATATCAACTTGTTGTTGAGAATGTTCAAATAACCGTTGCTTTTACTGCTTAAATTGTGTGCATCTTTCTCGGAAAAATGGAAACCGAAATCAATAAGGAATACGCCATCAAAGATTGAATCGACCGTCGATTATTGAGAAGGGACAGGATATTTGCTCAGAAATGATTCAGCACTTGATGTAACCTACGGAGTTAAGTAACTCAAGACCTGTTAAACTTAACATAAGCAACAAAGGAAGTAATTGGAATTCGTGTGTATGCCCAAAATCGGTTTAACCCTACCGTATTGATAAAATAGTGATTATGTTATGCGAAAACAGTAAAGAATGATTGGAAACTGAATAATCTACATTACATGCAACTTTTACCGAATGTCACGAGAACGAAAAATAAACAGAGAGGACTTTCGATAATAGTTTACGATAGGCTAATTTCCAAGACATCCTCAAAACCCGTTCTTCCAGCAGCAGAAGTAAGCCATGCGAAGTCAAGAGACAGACGACCTATACCGTCTGTATTCTTTTTATGGTCAGAATAATAACCTTACCAAGTAGATTACCGCATTACATGAACACTGCGGTGCAACAACTCCACCGAACGGACACGTTGAATACAAGAAAATTCCTCAACTTGTGACCGTTTATGAGTCAAATAATTCTAATTCACTGATTTTTTCACTATGATATTTACTAAAAGAAAATTTTATGCATGAGCCAGAGGACACTATGAAGATTTCCAAAGGGTCAAACTGCTAGCCTGCACCACAGTGTACAGCGAAAATGAACCCGGGCTAGTCAATACTGAGCTTGCGAATCACGAAACAGAAAAACATCTATCCAAGATAGACAAGGACTAAACCTACTAATATACCGGCAGCGCACATGTACACTCAAAATATAAGGCTTGTCAAATTGGCAACAATAATACTCATAATGTGCACCTAGCATCAAATCGTTGGTTGTTTCCGGCTAACAAAAAAACAACAGTTTTTGTATATCAGTCTTGAAGAAGAGATGTACGTTTCATCTGGTGGTGGTGGTGATCAAGCAGTATTTAAGCCGCTGTCACCCAACGTTGGTGGGGGAGGGCAGCTTCGCTATCGTCCGGCTCAATAACACGCCTAATCTGGTGAGGGTCTTGTGGTTTGCCGATCCAAGCCCCGACGGTTACGTTGCCGGTTTCCATGATTGAAAAACGAGTCATAAAGACTATGGGGCTTCCCCTATCTGCTGTTCGCAACACAGCGGTGCCTAATAAAATATTCTCTTTACAGTAACGCCACCAAATTATCACCCTGGGGATGTGTTTGAATTCCACCACCACCGCCTGATTTTTTCCATTGTGTGTTGAATGGCAGCCCTTTGATTGGCCCCGTCCCCCTTCCTGAAAATTGTATCTTTGTATATTCAATGAAAGAGAAGTAAAATGAAAAGAAAAGTACTCTATTCTTGCAGTAAATTTTTATCTGTCAAACTCTACGTGACTTCGGTTTTGAAACAATGAATAAGACAATGTGACACGAAAAACACTACAAAAATGAAATGAACTATTACAAACATTCACCGTCTAAACAGTACAAACTCAAAGTGGATAGAGCTTAAGATCGTCGATTTGTAACACTTAAATTTTTTCTCCGGGATACGCTCAAACGCACCCCGCTTTAGTTTGTTATTTTTATCTGCAGTCCGTGAACACTCACATTTCGACAGATATCTTCCTCAGAAAACAACAATGTTGATTGTGTGGGCTTGTATCCTTAGCCCGTGTTTGCTGGAAACCCCTCTCAATTCAGCTTTGTCACTTAACACTGTCCCTCAGACTTCCGTTGCTCCCATAGCGGTCGTTTTAATCGAGATCAGAATATTTGCCGTTTTCAAATGCAGCATAAAGGACAGACAACCTTGCGATAGCACTCTGCACTCAACAAGTGCACGCTAAATGTCGGATGAGGTCACTGTTTTGTGAGTCTGTCACGTGCATTCTACGCAAGTGTGATACATCAAATACAGATAAGTCAAACCACTAGTATATTCTAAATCACAAGTAATATTTCATACTGCTTATTTGGAAGGAAAATTTTGGAAACCTGTCGGCGTTTTCTAAGCGTTCGATGAGACTGATAAACAATGGAAAAACGCAAGGGAATTTTCAGACATAGCGGTTTCGGACGGCAGACACTTGATGAGCGACACATTAACATTTCGTGCAGCTCCAAGGTGTTTGATTTGAGAGCGACATTTAGACTTACACGAAGTGGCATTTAAATAGATAATCGGTGTCAGTAAAAATCGATCGGAATAATACGGCTGTTTAACAGTTGCTGGGTGGCGCATCGGCCAACGGAGTAGTATGGGTTATGTCATGACCTAACCCAAGGTGAAGGAAATCAGATGAAACTATGGTGCGAAAGAGAACAGAAAAAAAACTGACTCTCCGGACGTAGGCTGCTGAATCGCACTAGGTGCCAGTTGTTACTTGTGGCATTGTGCCGGTTGATAAGAGTTGTCTACCACTACAGTGCGCTACTGATAGAAACAATGGAATGATGGTATCTGAACAGTTTGCATAATGATTGCATGGTTTCTTCACAGTATGATTGTACAAGCATTTAAAAAGATTACAAGCACTATTGCTATGATAAATCTGGGGTAGAATGGATTCGCCCAAAACGATGAATTTTGCTTCTTATTCCCAATGATGTGCATCAGGGAGACGGCGAATTGGCGATAGGTCATAATCAGAAACAGCGGCGAGAAAATCGAAGAGCAATGTAATACTTCAAACCACGTACGTTTATACAAGCAATCTGTAAACTGTATCACAAAGTCTATAAGCACCCACGCACGCACAAGGGCTCGATCAAGTTGACATTATGAATTATGCACAAGTCCATGTGTTTTCTATTATACACGTTTGTTTGGTGAACAGTAGACGGGGTGGACTCTATAGTCATGTAGACCTGCTCCATTGGGTCGGGCGTGATATGGAGCCGGACGACAGAAAAGCTGCCTACCAGTAATTATCTACGTTACGTGAGCGGGCTTGATGGTTGACAAATTAGGGCTCTGCCTATCAAACTGGAAAGGAAAGGTAACCTGTTAAGAACCTATGGTTGCGGAAAAAAATTGATCAAATCATCGCAATCTCTCTCTCCGTGAGAATCAGCTCTATAGCATGTCAAAACAGTCACTCGCGAAGCAGATTGCGGTTGGCCGAAAAAACACTTGTCTAGGTATAATAACGAGTAAAATGCCCCGGAAATGAGAAAAGATTACATCACACATGTTGGAATGTCATTATTAGTGATGGTCTGCTCTTAATAAAAAGGATGCTGGAGATAGAAAAGCACGTCAATAGTATCTGCTGATCATATTGACTCGAAAGAGCTTTTATCTGCACACAACAGACAGAAACAAAGTGTCTGCTGCTTTATACACCTACCCTGTCACACGCTAGATGCTTCACAAAACCAATCAGACTGCAAACTCGAAGCAAACCTGGCAAGATGTATGGAGCTTGTTGGCATGAAAGGCGTCTAAAAATACGAAGGCGTGTCGAATTATAGGTTCTTTTTATTACACACCTAGGTGTGACGAACAGCAGACGGGGTCAACCCGATAGTCAAGAGGACATGCTGTTCAGTGATTGAAATCGGCAACCTAAGCCCCGGGACTTGGAGTGGCGAACCACATAAGGCCCCGATAGGTTAAGCGTGGTATTGAACCAGACAACAGCAGAGCTGCCTACCACCAGAGTCGGGTGGCGGTGGCGGGGTTCGAACTGCGGATCATAGGGTCCAAAGCACGCCGGTGACAGTGACTAAACCACTGTGCCGCCACCACCCGCTCGGAAATCAAGTATAACCATTCAACAAATTACGAATTCTGATTAAAAACTAAGTTGATCTTGCGGATAAAAAATAAACAACTTTCTAAAAAGGTTAGTGGCCCGCAAATGCTGACACAAATAGTGAAACAATGTTGCTCATATAAAATTAAACCGGAACTTCTTCCATTACCTTGTGCCAGTGCGGGAACCGATTCATCACTAACTCTATCACTTGTTCCGCGAAATTCAACTAAATTGTTCCAGGTCTTAAGCTGACAGTAAAGATCGATTAGTCAACACCAGTCGCGATTCAANGAAACATATAAGTAGTCTATTTGATGCGCCTCTTTCAATGAATATTTGACGAAGATGAAAACGTTACATTAAAGCTGAATGATAAAAATATGATAAGTAGAACTAGACAGTGTAGCATCCCTTAGCAAATATGCATTCTCAAACAGAACAGAAACTCAGTGCATTGCGAGAAATCCGTTATCGATAAAAGCTGATGGGCATGCACCACTACCACTGAAATCACATATAGCTTACCAATGCTTAATGACGTGTAAACAGAAAAATCCCGGCTTACATCTGGGTTGTTTGGGAATTACGACGTCTGGATCGTTTAGCCGGTCGAGGACATTTGGATAGCNTTTGATTGTAGTTGGGGATGCTTGACTGGACCGTTTGCGTAAACGCCGTTGTGAACTCGAATCTCCGTTGTCTTTTTTACGCTTCTCGTCCTCAACTGCCATCGCCGCCCCACTGACCTTTTTATCTTCCACTTCTGATTCCTCTGCATTAGTCTTGAGTGCATCCGTGGCACTGAACACGGGAGAACCGGGTTCATTGGCTTCTTTTTTGATAGTTGGTGTGGTTGGGTGTGAAATAGTGTCATTCATCTCAGTTAATTGTGTCAAGAATCTACTCGGTAAGTCCATCGGCGTACAACCAGCTTCGACCAACCCTGGAACTTGATTCACTTGCAATGGTCCGTTGCGAAATAGTCGAATAGGTAAACCAGGGAATGATTTACCCAGAGATTCTTGTCGCCGCTCGATTAGACGAGTGATAATCTGATCACAAAAAGTAAAGGTAGGTAAGAATCTATTTGATGAACGCCATTGAAAGTTTATACATCTTACTCATACAAGTGCATTGTCGCCATCATCATCGTTGTCACTGTACGATGAGGCAAAGTGAAGTATACTCCACCGATCATTACTAACCTCTCAACAGATCAATATGAAAGG